TGATATTTCTTCATTGACAACAATCCAAAATTCTTGTGAAAATGAGTCCTCCCATAAAATAAATTATTAAATGCAAATTAGATTTCTAGTTTTCGTGTTTTTAGTTGTGAGAATACCCCAACCTCTAATAAATATATATTATGTTATATGTATTACATAATTAATTTGATGATTTGATAGGCTCATATGAGAAATAAAATAATATGATTAACTATTATGTATAAATAAAAATATATTTCTTTTCGTGCATGAAAATGATCTGAAAATTTCTTCTGAACTAATTTATTAAAACCGACACCTTGAGATCTACAAAAGATCTATTTCTAATATTATTATACAAACACTTTCAAATTTTATATTTGTTTATTTAATTTTTTACATTATAGTACAACTCGTGTCTCGTATTTGGTGGAATAAAACGTCCAAGTACATTTCAAATATTTAAGATAGAATCATTCGAAAACCTTGCGTTTCATATAATCTTCAAAAAAAAAAAAAAAAATCATCGAAATGAAAGAGTTAAATGTAAAATAGAGAACACAATTTTACGTTACAAATATGACATTTTACATCACAATAAATTTAGCTTGTTTTGTTGATAATTACATCCTTTGTCCACAAACTCTCTTTTAATGAGCTTCTAAAATGTTGTGATATCAAATATCAAAATTCTTTTGTATAGACATCAAATATAAAAATTCACGTATTCAAAATTTTTAATGACTCTAAAATGTTGCTTTTTTATTAAATAAGTTATGTATTCAAAAGAAATGTGTCTGCAACTAAGACAAACTAATGCATTGTATATAAAAATTTTGTACTATCTAATTAGAGAGGATGATATTAGTAACCAAAGGGAATAAAAAATATTTGATGCTCCATGTACTCGGGAGTAGTGTTTTGAAACCCGGCTCGACCAAGCTGGTTCGACCAGTCGAATCAAGAACTGAGGCCTTCACTAGTCTGGACACTCATTAAACCCGACTATGTTAATTAACCCATATTGACCCGTAGTTGGACCAGAGGAACAATAGCGAACCACTGGTCCAACCAGCTCGGGGCCAAAACTGAGTCACTAAAAGTGAAAACCCGTAAAAAAAATTTAATCTCCAAACACGATCTGCATCTTCAATCTTCAATTATTCTCTATGCATCCTTCAATCTCCAAACACGATCTAAATATTCAATCTCCGATTCTCTATGCATCCTTCAATCTCCAATCATCAGTAACCTTCACACTCTCTTATCGTTTTAAAATGAAAAATAAAAGAAGAAGAACAAACTTGATAGGGTTGTGAGGTAGCGATTGAATGTGGGCTTGTTGTTGTGACTGAATGGATTGGAAAAGACTAATTCATTTGGGTATAACGTTCTTCATATAGTCTTCGTCTTTGGGGTGATTTGCGGCCGCCATGGAAAAAGAAGAGAAGGAGCGTAACAGAGTAACGCAAGCTTTACAAAGTAAAAGGTATTTGGTAAAGTTGTATATTCTGTTATTGAGTAAAGTAAAAGTTGCTGTATATATACAAGGAACTGTAGCTAACTAAAAACGTGACTAATCTAACAAACTAACTGCTTTACAACTCAGCATCTAACTAATGTAACCAACTATACAATAAAATAATGTATTCTGTACATCCCCCCCTCAAGTTGGAACTTGATGGAAATCTAGCAACCCCAACTTGGAAGTAAATTGATGAAACAAAGGACCAGTTAAGGATTTGGTGAAAATGTCGACAACCTGTAGCTTGGAAGGAATATGTTGAGGATGAACAAAACCAGCCTTAAATTGATTGCGAATCAAATGACAATCAATTTCGAGATGCTTGGTGCGCTCATGGAAAACAGGATTGGCAGTGATATGGAGGGCAGCCTGATTATCGCACCAGAGAGGAATAGGAAGGTGAAGATGAACATGTAAGTCCTGAAGAATATAGGAAATCCATTGCAATTCACAAACAGTAGAGGCAAGGTTGCGATATTCAGCTTCAGCAGAAGATCTGGAGACAGTGGTCTATTTCTTGGTTTTCCAAGAGATGAGAGAAGAACCAAGATAAACACAATAACCAGTTAAAGACTTTCTGGTAGTTGGACAAGAAGCCCAATCTACATCACAAAATGCTTCTAAATGAAAAGAGTTGTTTGCAGGGAAAAACAAGCCTTTGGAAGGACAACCCTTCAAGTAACGAAGAACATGAGCAACAACTTCCCAATGATCAGTGCAGGGACGTTGAACATGTTGACTGAGCTGCTGAACTGCATAAGCAAGATCAGGTCGGGTGAAGCCAAGATAAAGAAGTCTGCCAACCAATCTGCGATATTGATCAGGATTAGCAAATAAAGTATCCTCAGTAGAACAAAACTTGAAGCCTTTAGGTAAAGGAGTTGTAGCAGGTTTGGCACCAGAAAGGCCTGCATCTGTAATAATATCCATAGCATATTTTCTTTGATATATGTAAGTACCCTGTAAGGACCGAGCAATCTCAAGACCAAGGAAATATTTGGCATATCCAAGATCTTTAATGGTAAATTGATCATGAAGGAACTTCTTCACAGCAAGAATGTCAGTTTCAGAAGAACCAGTAATGATGACATCGTCAATATATACTAAAAGAACAATAAAGGAAGAATCAGTAGATTTAACAAAGAAGTATCATGAGTAGACTGAGTAAAACCATAAGTAATTAGCTGAGAAGTAAACTCATTATTCGACTGTCTGGAAGCTTGTTTCAAACCGTATAGAGATCTTTTTAGACGACAAACCTGATTTGGTCCAGCTGTATCATAACCAGCAGGTGGTAACATATACACTTCTTCATCAAGATAGCCATGCAAAAATGCATTATTAATGTCAAGCTGATAAATAGGCCAGAATTTTGCAGTAGCCACAGCAAGAAAAATGAGTACAGTAACTAATTTTGCTACAGGAGAAAAGGAATCAAAGTAGCCAACACCTTCTACTTGATTATAACCCTTGGCAACTAATCGGGCTTTATACCTATCAATTGAACCATGTTGATTAAGTTTGTCTTACAAAACCATCGTGAACCAATGGCTTTTTTTCCTGCAGGTAAAGAGGTTAACTCCCATGTATGATTTGCTTCTAAAGCCTGAAGTTCATGTTGCATGGCCTATACCCACTGAGCATTAAGTCTAGCTTGACTATAAGAAGCAGGCTCTTGGACATTGGATACATTTGCCAAGAAAGACATATATGATGAAGTAAAAAAGGGTGATTGCACATATGGAAATATGGGAGGTGTATATGGTGAAGAGACACCAGATTAAGTAGTAGTGGTAGTGGAAGTTGATGGACAAGTAAGAACATTAGAGACAAAATCTTTTAACCAAGCAGATGGTTTTGATGTCTTGGTACTGCGTCGTATAGGAGGTATAATTGGTAAGGGTGAAGAGTCTATAAAAAAGGAGTTAAGTGATGAAGGTGACAAAAGGGGAAAAGGTAATTCTGTATGATTAGGAGGAGTATAGTGATGATTTTCAATAATAGGAATCTGAGGTAAAGACACAATTGTTGACGTAGGGCTATTTTGTTTAAAAGGAAAGGAATGCTCATGAAAAATGGCATCCCTAGACATAAACACTATTTTAGACTGAATATCAAACATTTTATAGGCTTTATGACCACTGTTATACCCTAGGAAAACACATTTATAAGCTCTAGGGGCAAACTTATCATTATGAGGATGAGTGTTAGTAGCGAAACATAAGCATCCAAATGTTCTAAGGAAAAGGTAATCTGGAGGTTTATGGAAAAGTATTTCATAAGGGGTTTCCCATTTGAGAACAGGAGTGGGCAATCTGTTAATGATATAAGTGGCTGTGAGTATGGCTTCTTCCCAAAAGTGTTTAGGGAGAGCTGATTGAAACATAAGGGATCTAGCTTTTGAAGCAAATGTTTATGTTTTCTTTCAACTAATCCATTCTGCTAGGGTGTATAAGTGCATGATTTTTTATGTAAGATGCCATGTTAGAGGAAAAGATTCTGACAATCTTTACTAAGAAATTCAGTTCCATTATCAGTTTGAATTCTTTTAATGGACAGGGAGAACTAATTTTTAATCATGCTAAATAATGTAATCAATGTATGTACTACTTGACTCTTATGACTTAAAAGAAAAGTCCAAGTAGCTCTACTGAAATCATCAACTATAGTTAAAAAATAATGTGCCCCTATAAGTGTGGCTACTTTATAAGGTCCGCAAATGTCAATATGAATCAATTCAAAAGCTGTGAGAGAGTAAGTTGTGCTAAGATGGAAAGGTAATCGATGCTATTTTGACAGTGGACATACATCACAAATAAAAGTTGCTAGGTCAGAATGTTTAACAGTAGAAACTTTATTAAGAATATCATGTGATGGATGGCCTAATCTTTGATGCCATAAAGTTGATGATGGTACATTATTAGTGACAAAACAGAAGGTGTTACAAGCATGTGTATTAACAGGTAATTCAGACCTAGATATAAACTGTGAAGAAAAGGTTTTAATAGTTTCTTGGCTAAAAGAGAATTTATCTAGAATGTATAATCTTCCCACTAACTTGCCAACTGCCAATACTGCCTTAGTCTGCAGGTCCTATACGATACAGTGAGTAGGGTAAAAAACAAACTTGATGAGTGCAGACTCTGAAAGTTTATTTACTGAAAGTAAGTTAAACTTAAAATTTGGAATATGTAAAACCTCAGTAAGTGTTAAGGCTTGCTGCAAAAGGACTTTTCCTATGTGTTGGACAAAATTAATTGATCCATTAGGTAAGTATACAGGTGTGCATTTATGAATTGAATTATAGGTGTTAAACAAGGCAAGATCATTACACATGACTCGAGGCTCCTGTATCTATAATCCAAGATCCTGAACTTAAAAATTCAATTGAACTTAATGCTTGTGTTAGACCAATACCTGCAAAGTCAGCGAAATGAGCAAAATCAGTTGTAGAGCCATCAGCTAATGCCTTTCCTTTCATAAGCTTGGCCAACTCTTATTGGATTAATTCTGATATTGTTGTTCCCCACTCAGTTCCAGTATTGCCAAGTTCCTTTCCAGCTTCCAGAGGTGTATCAGTCATATTTGCATAACTCTTGTGTTGAGTCTTTCCCTTTTGTTCCTTCAAATCTTTGTACCAGTCAGGATAACCATGAAGCTTAAAACATGTCTCCTTTGTATGCCTATTGTTATTGCAGAAATCACAATGTCTCTCTGACTTCTTAATCGTATCCTTCCTCTTGTATCCTGTCTTAACACCCTGTGCTTTTGCAAACATAGCACTATTTTCAAGATTATCTGCAAATGCTACATGTACCTCTCTCTGTTTTTCAACTCGCAAGATCATTGAGTATGCCTTGTTAATAGTGGGTAAGGGATCCATGACCAGAATCTGATTTCGAACATGATCAAAGCTATCATTCAATCCCATAAGAAACTACATCAAACAATTAAAAGAAGTTATTTCTGCCACCGATTTAGCTGCTCCACAACTACACTGTGGTATAGGCATCAAACATGTCAATTCATCCCATAACTTCTTTAGTTTTGTGTAGTATTGTACTACTGGCATATTTCCCTGATTAATTGAACTAATATCCCTTTGGATTTGATATAACAAAGGTCCATTACATTCACCGAACCTTTCTTCCAATTCCTTCCACAAATCTTTTGCAGAGGTTGTATACAGGAAAGCTTTAACTATCTCTCGCGAATTTGAATTCAAAATCCAAAAAGTAACCATGTAAGCTACCCTCCTCCATTGATCAAATGTTGGAGAACTTTCATCAGGTATCTTACATTGTCCATTAGTAAACCCTAACTTCACTTTTGCTCCTAATGCGAGTTTCATCGAACGACTCCAAGACAAGTAGTTCTTATCCATTAATGGAGTTGAGACAAGGATCATACCTGGATGATTAGAGTTTTGCAGAAAAAGAGGATCTCCGTTTCGTATATTTTCTCCTGTTCGTACTGAATCAGGTTCCATTGTTGCTTCACTTTGAAGATCCGAGCTCCTTATACCAGGTTCCATGTCAACTAGAAGCAATAGTATGTCACAAAACCAGAAAATCAATGATTTCGTGAAGGATCTATTGCTCTGATACCATGAACAAAGTAACGCAAGCTTTACAGAGTAAAAGGTATTTGGTAAAGTTGTATATTCTGTTATTGAGTAAAGTAAAAATTGTTGTATATATACAAGGAACTGTAGCTAACTAAAAACGTAACTAATCTAACAAACTAACTGCTTTACAGCTCAGCATCTAACTAATGTAACCAACTATACAATAAAATAATTTATTCTGTACAGAGCGGAGATAAAACGAGGGTTTTAAGAAATGAGTTTGAGAGTAAAGTAGGAAAGAAGAAGAAAATGAGAAACGATGGCATAGGATTTTAATAGTCTTCATCTTTCGGGTGAGTTGGGGCAGCCATGGCAAAAGAAGAGAAGGAGCGGAGATAAAACGAGGGTTTTAAGAAATGGGTTTGAGAGTGAAGTAGGACAGAAGAAGAAAATTACAAACGACAGCACATGATTTTACCACATTGCGTATTTACTTTCTTCAATAGCCATTTTGTTCAACTAAAATTGAGAAACGACAGTACAATAAGAAATGGGATTTTTAAATTACTATGATTTATGGTGTCATGCTGACATTAGCATGACTTCATCATGTTGACATCAACATGACTTCATCATGCTAACATCAGTATGATGACACCACCAATCCAACCTACCAATCAAACCGGTTCAATTGCTCAACCCAAGACCAAGTCGCCTAATCGAGTTATTACTTGGGTTGGTTTCAAAACATTGCTTGGGAGCCGGTTTGAGCTTTTTTTCAACTATCAATATTAGAAGACAAATTATGCAATATGAATGAATGGAATATAAAACAGTTAAGAGATATTAATCACTGCATGGACAAAATCTTAGCTGAATTCGAAACTTGTTAGTTAATTTCTAATCTAAGCAATAAAACAAGTTTAGTGATAACTTGTTCAAGTTAAATTCTAGACACATGTCTTTTTTTCTTTCTTTTTATATTAACTTTTGTATACTCAATTCTATTTTATTGGCCGTTTTGAAGTGTAAACTTTGTTTATTCACTTGAATACTTCATTTAGCTGGCTTGTTCTTTTCTAATATTAATTTCAAATAATTAATATTTGAAAATATTTTAGAAAAAACACTTTGTTTATTTGATTTCTTGTACCATGTACCACTTATTTGGCCTGCCTTTGCAAGTCAAAAGCAAATTATTCTATAGATTAATTTCATTCCTTACACAGATGATATGATTCAATATTTGTATATGTTTGAAATCGCTATAGTTTCATAAATTGTTCATTTAATCTTTTAAGAAATTATGCAACATTGCTAGTGCCTACTCCACTTGGGTTATGAAAATACACAGTATATTGTAATGAACATATCACATTATCCAATTGTTTATCATTTAATATTGTAATTTGAATTATCATAGTCATTCTTTCTTATAGATATCTTGATTTGAATTACAGCAATCATTGTTAGTTATATATGTGGTAATTTGAATACTACCATTTCTTAGGTATTATGAGATTACTTGATAATCTTATTTTTATTACAATTTTACACCTTATTAATAAAATTTAGGACAATAATGTCTATGTTACCTAAACAATTTACAACAATTTTCATGGACAATTTTAGCCTCATACACCAGATTTTTAAGACATTATTACCCTTGTACTCCAACCAAATTACCATAGACCACAACCACATCTGACCACCCTCGTCGACCGCCAACCACAAGCCACCATCGTCGACCACTGTCTGCAATCGTTGTAACAGCTCACGATCGGTTAAATCGGGCCAACCATACGCTGATCTGGCTGGAAACAGCTAGATCGATGGCTAGATGATCGTGGATCTGGTCATTTTTTATGATATCCATGTCGTTAACGGCTACAATTCTGGCTGTTAACAGCCATGGATTTGGCCGAAAATGGTTAGATCCAAACGACCAGAATAGATTTGGCCATTTTTAGCCAGATCCATGGCTGTTAATAGATCCAAACGACGAGAATAGATCTAGCCATTTTCGGCAAGATCCATGGCTGTTAACAACCATGGATTTGGTTGAAAACAGCCAGATACAAGCGGGTAGAATAGATCTGGTTGTTAACGACCATAAATCTGGTCGTAACGACCAAATCCACCGCCATTTGGCCGTTTTTGGCTATTGATCAGGTCATTACGAGGACTACCGGCGGCTGGCAATGGTTTGGGTGGGTGGGAATGATTTTGTTAAAATTTAAACTTTTATTATGGTTGGGGTGTTTTAGCAAAATCTCAAATATAGGGGGTTAACAGCAATAATTAAAATAATAATAATAATATTATTATAAAAGAAGGACAATTTGAGAATATATATAACATAACCTCTAATTTATTCCTCTCAACCAAACATATCACTAAAACATACCCATCAATCAATCCCAATCTAACCAAACACATTTAATAGAACATTTCTAGTAATTTATCTTCTCATTAATATAACATTCCCAGTAATATAATATTCTCTAAACCAAACGCACCCTTATAGTATTGTGTATAATCTGAAGAAACATGCACCAACGGATTTGGTTATAATACATCCACGTGATCCACAGATTCCGTACTATTAAGTCAAGTAATTAAACTAATGAATTTAATTTAATTAATTAATCAAATGCTATGAAGGCATGTAAAAGAATTATATACTATTACTACATCATCAACAACGACTTATGCTTAATCAAATGAATTAAGGAAGTCATTAAGATATCGGTAATTTACAACATGGAATGTAAAACTTGTAACAACTTCAACATTTACTAGTATTATTGTAAGATGAGAACGTCACAAATAGAAGGAGTATATTAACAATTTTTGAATGTCGAGTATATAGTATGACAGGACTCGTCTCAACTTTCTCTATCTCATACCAGCAAACAAACCAAAATCTACCATCAATCCATCATCCACCATCACATCTACCATTACACCAAAAGTAATTGCCCACAGAAAAAACTTGCCAAAATTGAAAAAAGGACACCACCATGAGAATAGACACCGCCAAGCGAGCAGCTCATGGCGACTAGCCATCAGATCACAATGGCAAAGCAGGTGGTTGTGGCGGCTAGTCAGCTTGACTTTAGATATGAGAAAGTACATGGAGGGGGATAAAGAAAGGCATGAATAGAGGTAAGAAAGGAGGAAGGAGGAAGAAGGGGAGTAAAGGAAAACAAAGTGAGCTATTGGTCACCTTGTCACCACCGGCAACTTTGCTTGTAGCCTNATTAAGAACGTAGATATCTAATGTCTGCGGAAGAGTCCATATAGTAAGAAATGGGCTAGCAAGACGGTTTGTTTGAGTGTCTCAACAGTCAAGTCAGTGATTTTTGTCACAAAAGTCTTTGTAATGTAGTATATATATATGATGTATTTATTCTTCTGAGAAGGAGAGGAAGGTCTGCTTTTCTCAAGAATTGAAGGTTAGGGATTTTAGGTTTGGATCCTTTCGGTCGCGTGATCTTCCTTAATTTATAGCTATAGATTTTTGTGTCATGGGATACATGTAACGAGTCCTGGTCTTTGCTAAATCCAATGGCCATTCTTTCTTGTCTCAAAGGATCCCTTCCTCTAGTTGGTAGGTGAAGCTCTTCTTGGAGTTTAATGTGAGACCTTGAGCGAGTGACACTTTGTCATTATTTTTGTGTAAATGTATAAAAGAAAATATTTTTTAGAACGACCCAAATCGATTGAAGTGTAAATAATCATGCAGTAATGAACAGTAATAAACAGTGATGAAGAATGTTATATGAACAGTGAACAATGTCGTATGAACAGTGAATAGGGCTAAAAAGTGCCGACGATGTCAAAATGCGACGAATTTTGGCATGGCACTCTGAAACAACCAAACAAGTTAGGCTTGTGACAAAGACACGAGTTTTGTCATTTTTTAGCCTTACAGAATCGTTTAGATGGGTTTTTAGGCCTTTTCTTTTATGTTTTTAGGGGTGTTTTTGCAAACTTCTAGAGTTTTTGGGTTTATTTGCAACTTTTGGAATGTTTTTGGATCTTTTTGTAATAATTGTTTGATATTCTATTTCTAGGGTTGTTTTTATTAGGGCAACCTATAAAAAGGTTGTTATAGCCGTAATAGGCAATTTTTTTAGATGATTATTTTTATTAGTGAAAGTTAAGAACCTTTTGTGTTTGCTTATTCAATCCAATATCCGAACTTGATACAATTCGGTGGTGGTTTATCGTATCAATTGTTCATTGATTGTTCAGTCATCTTATTGTTTCAGCATCATTTGGTATCAGAGCTAGGTTTAATACCAATGGCTGAACAAACTCGTGGTAGAGGTTGGCGAGGATGCGATAGGGGTTGTGGAGTTGCTCTTGGGGAGGACACTACTGATCATCTACTTAACCAGGGAGATATAGAGATGGATGATATGAGGAGACAAATTCAAGATCTTCAACGGTTTCTTGAGCAAATCGAGACCCAAACAGAGGAGGAATCAGTAGAAGAAACCGATGAGAATGAGGAAGACGTCAATCCTTTTAGGGGTTCCATCAGTGCGTGTAGTCAAGGATTCCGGCCACGAAACCAACTATTTTCTCCAAATATTGGAATGAAGCTTGAGATTCTAGAGTTTGATGGTAAGGCTCATCCCGATGAGTTTATTGATTGGATGAATACGGTTGAGAGAATTTTTGATTTAATAGATTTTTCGGAAGTGTAGAAAGTGAAATTGGTCCCAATAAAATTGAGGAAACATGCTTCGATTTGGTGGGAATATATTAAGAAGCAATGGTCCAGGGAGGGAAAATAGAAAATTGTGAGTTGGGATAAGATGAAAAAGTTGTTGCGACATAAATTTCTTCTCGAACATTACCGACAAGAGGCTTTTATAGAATATCACAATGTTAAACAAGGTGGTATGTCGGTTGAAGAGTTTACAAATGAATTTGACCGGCTTAGAATGAGATGT